AAGCTGTTAACTAAAAAAGAACCCAGTATAACCACCCAGGACCACAGTTCATTGTAAGCGATACAATGCAAAGAATAAATCTGCGGAGCCCGACCCAAGTTATGATTTGGAATCGGAAGAAACACCTGACATGGCTCAAAAAGAATTTGAAGAGAAAAAAAAAACAGAAAAACAGGGAAAATGTTAAAAATATTGAAAAACAACAAATTTGTGGATGCAAGAGAGAAAACTACGACTGACGGCTTCCAATTTCGGGAAAATTTATAATAGTTTGTAATTTGTAATTTGTTCAAAGAAACTTGTGGAAACTTATTGTACTCTGCTTTCAAAGAGAATGTAAGTACAATACATGGACAACAAAATGAACGAAAGTTTTGTTAATATGAGGCTGATGAGGGCGCAAGGGTGACGAAACATGTCCCAACTTGTGGAGTTGGCTTTAATATTACTTACTCTGTTTAATACTATTACATTGTTGAGCACTAAAAAATATACCTTTACACAAATGGTGGTACCTTCAAGCATCTCTTCTTGTATTGAACTAATTAGTCTAATAAATGCAATTCCTATATTACGTTATTAACTTTTTGAAGTTAGACAAACAATAAACGGCAAATAGGTGCGAAGCCAAAACCTCGTACCTCAAGATTTTACGATTTTGAGTTAGGTAGTTCATACTGTAGAAAATTCGATTCTCCAGAAGTTACAAGACCGCGTATATCAATACCTGAGTTCAAAAAAGTTTTTAAAAACTTGAGATACGAGGTTTTGGCTTTGCACCGACGAAATATCAATGTAATTGTCGCCCGTCAGCCAGAGGTGACTAAAATTCGGTAATATTGTTCTTTATTTATCTATAACCGCCCATCGTTTTGCATCTTCAGCCACTTTTTCATCTTTTAAGGACAGATTTTTGCTTACAGTATTTTTTGTTTTTTAGTTTCGTGATATTCGAAGTATTTCCAGTATTTTTTTCTAAATTTGGAATCAAAACTATCCATGAAAGTCTGATTGTGAACAAACCATCGGACTGAAAGTTATTAATCTGACATTTGACATCTCGCCAGGCGTATTAAAAATTGTGATCCGTTCACAACACACTCATATTACCGCCAACTATGACACCAATTTTAAATAAACATCCGTTATAAATTACATGGGATGATTTTCCTTAGAGCAAAACTATAATTCCAGGAATATCGAACTTTTGTAACAATAAGGTACCTAAAAAAACGTGATTACACGAAACAATAAAATCTAAACAAACATAAGTGTCTTAAATTTGTATTCTGTTGGCATGAAAAGCTCAAAAACAATAGAAAAGGCTTCTTTAAAAATTTAAATGCGCTGATGTGATAAAATCCACAATAGCAATTTAAACGGACTTCAAATTCCGTCCTTCATGTAAATAAAAGAGGGAAAAAGTGAAAATTGGTCGTTTAGTATATCGAGTGCAAATCCGGATTATCATTGCTAATGTGATCTGACTTGGCTACGCTTCCCCAGGGGCGATTCTAGGCTATGTGCAAAGGGTGCAATGCACACGGGCGGCCAAATTTTAGGGGCAGCCAAAAATAAAAATATGTGTTTTATTTCCATTTTTAAATATTCTAAAAAAATACGAGAAGTGTGCTTCTTATTTTTTTTTTAAATTTGACATTTGGCTTGAAATGTTTATGTTCATTTAATAGCACTACAGGGTGTGCCAGAACTCGCGCCCCAGAGAAAAATGTCATATAAGGTAAGATCCCAGGAACATGGAAAAAATGTTAAAAAAATTTTATCTATAAAAATTTCGAATTTATGAGGGTTTAAAGTTTGCACTTTGACTCTATTTATTTCTGTTAGAAAAATAATTTTCCAAATCTTTTTGCTATAGGCTATTAAAAGAGGAAACAAGGAAGCTGTATCCTAAATTGTATCTCTGTTCAATGTTATTTGTGGCTTTTATTGGCAAAATTTTTGTCCCTTTACTAAATAATTGCAAAAAAAACATATACAAGATCATAAGTATCATTAAATAGATATAAAAAATGTCAAATGTCAAAAAATAAATGTCAAAATTTTTTGACAGATAGAATTTTGTAAACATTTTTTTCATGTTCCCTATCTTATCTTACTTGAAAATTTTTTCTGGGGTGCGAGTTCTGGCGCACCCTGTATAAACATGAGCGCTGACTAAGTATTGTTTCGGTGATAAGACTAAAATACGTGGGTAAACCAGAAGTCGCTGCTAAATAATTACTTGTATTTTATATGGTAATACAGTGGCTGTTGTCATTATAAATTATGTAATTTTTCTTTATGTTTTTGATGTGCCCCGGTATAATAATGAAACACTAGTTGTAGTAACAGAATTTGCTAGATTTGAATTTCAGGAATAATCTGGAACAGTGATTTTGCCTATATAAATACAACTCTTGAAAATAGCCTCATTTTAAAATTTCTGGTTTTCGTTTAGTCGCTTTTCATTGTTAATTGATTTTATAAAATTAGTAGAAAAGTGTTTGCAAAAATAAATACATCAACAAAAGTTCTTGTATTTTAAAGAAAAAGTTTGTCGAAAAGGTAAGACCTTTTTATTTTTCCTTCATTAAAAGATGTCTACACGGAAAATAAAACGTTTATCGGAATCCCAATATCGAAAAAGTACAAGGTTGAAAATTAACTGGAAGAGAACTTGAAGAAATTAAAACAACTGTTATGTTTATGCAACGTTTCGTCTATTAACCATAGACATCATGAGACTAACAATGCTTTTGAAAAGATACAATAATTGAATAAGATCATCGCATCGACCTTCTCATCCTCATATTAGGAGGAAATCAAATATTAACAAATGTTTGATGTGCCTTATGAAGAAAATATTTATAACAATCTAAAATTTGTATTTGAAAAAGGTCTTCACGAAATAGCTCCCAATTTGGTTATTGCTATAAGAATACTCTTAACCTGGTTCCGTAGCCTCTGCAGAACGTTCTTTTTCGAAATTAAAATTAATAAAAAATTATTTAAAGTCCACAACTGGTCAAGAAATGCTATCCAATTTAGCTACAATTTCAATAGAAAGTGAAGAGTGTGACAAAATTAATTTTAGTGAAAAAAGTCAAAAACTTGCTTCTTTAAATGCAAGAAAAATTTAAGGTTTTTAATTTTGCAATTGCCTTAATTTTTGTTTATTGTAATTTTTTGTGCCTATGCCTATACATATTCCTGTTAATTAATTTGTCTTTTTTCTTTTGTCAATTTCTTGTGTTGAAATTTTGAAATAAATTTATGTACAGGGTGCTGCATTTTGGATGTCCGAATAGGGAATCTCCGAAACTAAGAGGTTGAGCCAAAAACGACTAATACATTCTGGGGCTCATTTTTTGAGAAAATAATATTGGTTAAAACCGCTTCCCGCTATCGTCTTTTGTTTTTGACTTATAGACAAAAATTGACATTTTAGCGAAATCTAAAAAAATTCATATCTTCGTTATTATAAAAGACACAGATTTGAAATAAAGACATTATACAGGCACTTTTTACGTAGAATTTAACAATGTAGTTAACAATTTTTTTCAGTTGTTTGTTTAGCCGTAATAAAATAAACTTGTATTTTTTTTAATGGGAATCATAGATGGCTATGTCATTTTTAAAAAGCTTGTTTATCTAAATATATATATATATATATTTGTAACAAATTATTATAATACATTTTTAGCAAAAAATTATATTTGATTTTTGTTCGCAGTTGGCCATGAAAAAATGTTGCATCTTCAACTAAAAGGATTTAAACTATATTATATTTAACCAGTGTCACTAATGATAGAGTTTTCTAAGTACTAAGTAATGAAAAAAATGCAAAATAAATTGTAAATCAACTTATTGGCGACTAATAACATTTTTTTGTTTTTAAAGAAGCTAACATTACCATTGCAACTTCTAGTGATACATATTGTTGTAAAAAAAGCCGCTTTAATTCCTCAATAAAATATATTTTATATGACACAAAAATGACGATATGGCTATTCAAATATCCAAATTCCGTCTATGTGAAACGTTATCCTACCTCCGTTAGATCATCAAAAAAATGTTTTTTTTAATTGTGTTTACTGTTGACACATTTATTTTTCCTATTTTTGGATTTTTTAAAAATATGTAATAATTTTTTCTGAGGCGCTCGCATATTTGTTCAATGCTTTTACCGTATCGTATTTTTAAAATTTTTATAATTGTATCTATTTTTTCATTTATTTTACAGTTCACAAAACTCTTATTGATTACTATTTAAACATTTGGAGTGAAATAGTTTTTCCATGGCCAACTGTTATCAAACAAAATATGTATTTCTCTTTTTAAATATAGTTATAAAAAAATATTCTGTTACAAATATATATTTTTTAGATCAGAAAAAAATAAGCTTTTCAAAATTGCCATAACCGCCTATGATTTCCATTTAAAAAAATACAAGTTTATTACGGCTAAACTAATAAGTGAAAAAAAATGTTAACTACATTACTAAATTCCTCGAAATAAAGTGCCTGTATAATGTCTTTATTTCAAATCCGTATCTTCTATAATAACGAAGATATGAATTTTTTCAGATTTCGCCAAAATGTCAACTTTTGTCTGTAAGTCGAAAACAAAAGACGATAGCGGGATGCGATTTTAACCAATATTATTTTCTCAAAAAATGAGCCCCAGAATGTATTACTCGTTTTTGGCTAAACCTCTTAGTTTCGGAGATTCCCTATTCGGACATCCAAAATGCAGCACCCTGAACATAATATGTTTGTTGTCTCTTTTTTATTGGAACTTTTAATTTACCTGTTTCTACACCTTACATTAGAAAGGGCGGCCACACGAATTCTGCACACGGGCGACCGATAAGCTAGGATCGCCCCTGCGCTTACCTTTAATGGTAAATTAAAGATTCTTCTTTTGTAAATAGAAATAAAAACTACCTCAATACGAATATGGAGCATTCAGGAGAATTGTAAACATTTTTTTTCCAGATTTGCTACCCGGACGTCGGCTAAACTACGTAGCCGCAGATATTGGAACGAATCCTCCAGCGTCAGGCCTAAGTCGAAGTAAATCGTCTTTGGCAGCTCAAGCTATTCGTGTGATGACCGAAATGAGAGACAACGGAACTATCGCTTTCATTGGACCAGATGACACATGTTCAAGCGAAGCTCTTGTAGCCGCTGCATGGAACTTGCCTATGATTTCTTATGTAAGACTTACTTAATAACAATTTTATACAAAACGTGAGTTTGTGATGACTTTCGGAATTATCAATGTCTTTCACTCGTTCAGGCTTTTTAGGGGTGTTACAAACATAAGCTAACTTAATAAGATTTTCTTCTTTTTCTTTCTTCTAGATCCTTGCGGAAAGTGTAAACAACCAATTATTATTATAAGTATTTACGCGACATATTCTAAGATTATCTTTGTGGTCGTGTTTGGGAGTTGCGTTGACAAGGAAGGGGTTGGTATGTGACGCAAATAGTGTGGGATTTTGTAAACATGAAGTGTTTGAATAAAGGAGTTTTCATTTTTACAGATTAAGATAATTTAAAATTTATATTCAAAAATATGTTTTATACAGTGTGTTTCAGCGAGTTGGTAAAGACCATTATTGATCTTTAAATATTAAAATATTCAAAAGTGTGTTTACAAAATTCATTGATAATATAGGTATTATCAATGTTAAGACATTGATATTACCTAAAATTATTTTTAAATACAGAGTGTATACAAAATGACGCATAAGCTCTTCAGTACGCTATAAAAAACGTTCCAATAATCTCCAGAAAATTAATTAAATTTTTTTTTTCTTAAGTATGAAGAAGTAAAGTTGAAAATTCTTTTTGTTTATTTCTTATTTTTTTTTAACGGTGATATAACCCGAAAAAGACTAAAACCTTTTACTCTTTCACATCAACGAATCTGAAAATTGGAAAAATGAAATTTTTAAAGTTATAATTTTTATATCAAGAAAACCTAAAAATTGATCTGGCAACGTAGTTAAGAATCAACAACATACACCAATGTGAATCTCGTACTTTACACAACATTATTGTTAAATTAGTAACAATTCTTTCAATTTATAATAATGGCCTGTGAAGATGAATTCATTTTGAAAAACGTTTTTTGCTTTTGTCCACTGCAACTACTTGTAATTTTTAACTAGAAAGCGAATTAGAAGGTATGCTTTCCAATAAACCGTGAAAAGAAAAAAATTGCTTGGACAATTTATTGCATTCAGCTTCTTCCATATTTTTCCTTATTATTTCAGAAAAAATGTTTCAAAGTTTAAATTTAATTTATATCAGTAAATGCCACGTATGCACAGTCGCCAATTTTATCAATATTATTTATTATTTAATGTAAAAAGTTAAAAGTTGGTGAACTCTTAAATTAAATTAAATTTTAAATAGTAAAGCTTAAATATTAAATGTTAGCATAAAAGTTACCATTGAAAATGCATGATTGATTTTCCTAAATGTGCATTTTTAAATTAAATTTTAAATAATAAACCTAAAATATAGAAGCATAATTCCATCTTATGCACTTTCATTAGCTTAGCCTTTTAATTATCTTCATTTCTTTGACGAAAACACACTCTTTTAAAAATTTATTATACAAAAAGTAAGATTCCTAGAAAAGTAACATTTTTACAACTTTAAAGAAGGAACTTTAAACTTTAGGGCAACCATGTTTTTATCACTGTTGCTACCATAATAAAGATAAAAAAATAAAAAGTTTGTTAAAAATTAAACAAACTAAAAAAACAAATCGTCTAAGGGAACGTTTTTTCGAATATTGAGATAAGGACTCACTTCCGAGATTTTTTAGCATGAGTTCCTAATATTCTGTACTATAGAAGATTATTCATAAATATGAAGCAATATTGGAGCCTCAAAAATGACCTAAGTATAAAATGATGTTAATTTATCTCTACTGACAAGACTTTATAACGTTTTATGTTGTTATAGCATGAATAACATACAACAATTTACAATCTTTAAGCTGTCAATAACAACCTAGTAACATGCAGGGCTGTTAAAAGACCAGAAAGAGTAACAATTGCATCCATTACAAATTTGTAGTATCCCACTAGGCGGATATACAGGATGATTGAAAAATGTGGGACCAACTTCCGAATTGTCAGAGAAGACTTTCAACTAAGCATAAAAATTAATTCAGATTTTTTTCAAGCCTTTTTTTGAGAAAAAACAAAACTGTTAAACTGTTTCCGATGTTGTCGGATTGAATTTATTGTTAAATTTGCTAATTTGTTAAATGTTTTGTACACCATAAGACATAAATTGGTGATTTTTATCTGTTCAATGTTGTTCAATGTTGCAAGGTTTGCTGTTTCCGTTAACTAAATTCAAGAATACATGATCTGAACGGACAAAAACATAAGCCAAAATCTAACCTTTGAAGGGTTATATTTCGTGAAAAAAGGCTCAAACAATTTTTTGTCATGGGAATTTTAACTCAATTGGATGTCCTTTCAACCACCCAAGAGATGGTTCGAGACTTTTGAATCACCCTGTACAAAAAACTAAATTGACCATATTTAATTTTCGTGGAGTTAATTACAGGAGAAAGAAAATCTAAGATAAAAATCACAATTTTTGGACTAATACTGTTCTTCAAGTGACCGATTCAATTATTTTGCCAATAAATGCAAATTATACATGGCGATACATCAGCGTGTCCCCGGATAGGAGAAACGACTCTTGTAAAAGATAAAAAAAATCGATTTAAATTTTCATTTTTTGGTGTTCAGACTTGCTTGGTTAAAGACTAATTTCTAAGGTAATTTTAGTTTTGAAAAATCAAGTATGTCTTGGAAATTTTCAAAAAAACAGTTTTTTTGTAGGGTAAAGTGCCTTTGTGTTCAGAATCAACATCTAGACCACCAAATTTCATTTTTTTATGTTTATTAATTCACAAATCAAAGAATTGTATTTAAACACTTCTTTTGACATACTTTACCACTCTGCAACAGATAATTTGCACAAGTTTGTAAGTGTTCTTACACAAATTAATTTGCTATAAAAATTGCTAAAAAAATGGGGGTAATTCCCTTTATGGATTGCGTAGAAAGATCTCTGTGGAGAATTATGAGCGACGAACTTGTCAACAAAATTTGCTGGCACGAAACGAAAGCTAAACTAACTTTATATTGTACAAAGACAAAAGAAGGATTAGTACGTAGAAAACTCTATAGTCATCCTGTTTCTTGTTTATATTATTATTTTATATTATTACGCAGCAGGAATTCAGTCAGTTCTGAGAGACACTAATGAAAGAGCAATCGAAGACAGTGTAAGAAATTGGTTGAGACATGCGCAATCAAGATTAAATTAAAAAAAAAACTGCAAGGTACGTTTTTCTGTTTTGTTTTCTATGAATTTTACGAGAACAGTGTTTGTTTAATTGTTTTGTATTTTTTAATGGAATTGTTTTTTTATATTTGAAGAATTTATATGTTTTTTTATGAATGTAGATTTTATTGTTTTTGCATTATTTTTTTAATTTTTGAAATTTTTTGAATTAATTAAATCTTTATTTTCGAAAAAGAATTTTTATTCCAATTTTCCCCTTAAAATCTCATCATAATCCCCTTAGAACAAAATAAGAAGTTTTCAGGATCAACAGGAAACTGCTAAATGTATCCTGTTTTCATTTCCCTGGGACTTCTGATAGAAAGGGAAGAACTTTTAATCCTGATATCCTCGGGATATTTCTGGAACAGTTTGGTGTTATGTGGGAATAATAATAATCATGTGAATGATTCACTAGTAATAATGGGCCTGACAGACTGACATGATTTTAGCTTATAGAGAATGTTTGAAGAATGCATCTCTTGTTGCTTGTGTGATGCCCAATGATATCCCAGACGAAAGACCTTCTGACACGATCAGATTAGTTTTTGAGCAAATTGGGTTCCTGTTTATCAAAGCGAAGGGTACCACTGGATGAAGCTTGAATAGATAGTTTCCGAAAATCTTATTTAAATAATACCCATTGTTGTGTTGGTAATTCAATTACTTATGTTTTTCATTATCTTAATGTCAAAACTGACAAGTTGTAAGTGTGCTGGCTATGATTTCATATTTATTACAAATAATCTTTGAAATCTTCCTGACCTATAAAAATGTAATGTTGGTTGCATCGAGAATTTGGTCAGGCTCATTATTCCTCGTGAATCACCCTGTATAGACCAAAATAAACATATAAGTCTTAACAAACAAAGTAACGATTTCGAAGATTATTTGTTTTTTTAAATATTTATTTGCAGTCTGTTCAAACAAACAAAGAGAAGCTTCTAGCACTGATTACCCTGATGGTTCACTCTTAAGCGGCACCTTTGAAGTCGCTTTTTCAGAATCTGTGACCTCGCTTGAAACGCACATAGTGCGCATCTCCCCTAAGCATAGAGTTTACACTGTTTACAGCCTCAACCAATGGTAATGCAGCGCGCTCTGACATTTTTGACAGTAACACTAGTGTTACAAACATGAAAGTTTAAAAAGTTACTAGATTAAAAAGGATAGAGATATATCTGCTTTAACATTGCGCATGGGAGACACAATTACGTTCAAAATAAAATTTGAATCAAAAAGTGGGGGGAGTGAACCATCAGGGTAATTAGTGCTTCTAGTACAAATTCTAAAAATTGTCACATTTGATATCTCCGAAAACCCATATTTTGTTTATTTTGGTCTATACTATTACCCCCTTAAATATTTTACAATCTTTTTTTAACACCTTGTATACTATTATTTTGAGTTCTTTGTTTGGTCACAAAACCAATACATTTTTAAATTAAGCCTATGTCTATGTCAAAAATAATTTATGTATGTGACATGAAGTGGTAATTACACATAAAAAATCCAATATGTTTACCTTTGGGGTATAGGGACATATGGCTATTTTCCCTTGTGAAATTAGCTGTTTGATTTTGAATTAAAAATGACAGGTTTTAATAACGAGCAGTCTTCTTCATTAAAACGAATGTTAAAAGAAATGTGCTGATAACAACAGATTTCCCGAACGAGCTTTCCAATAACCAAACTGTCGCAAGTTTCTAATTAATTCTGTGGAAAAAATCAAACTCTAAGAAAAGAATAGTATACTAAAAAACAAGTGTAGTGGCTCGTGCCACTGGTATTACAATAACCTCTCATTGTGTAACACGCGTTTTTCAGACTA